CCTTAGCTGATTACAAGCGATGTTTCAGACGAGGAGCAGAACTCACCATAAGTTAGGGGGTGGGCAAGCTCACAGAGGGTCACAGCCAGGACCTGTGCACTGTGGAGGCTGGAGTCCAGGAGGCTCCACTGCCCTGAGCCTCGAGGCTGTCATTCCAGATGGGACAAGGGAAGGAGTGAGGGCAGCAGACCCAGAAGGGAATGGGAGAGATCAGGAACTCGGGTCTTCAGAGATGGCTCTACTCACTTTCTTTTCAGCCTGGGCAACTGCAGACAAATCGAGTTCGAGCCACAGTGGCCCCTCTACCTATGACTTCAGCCCCTGGCAGAGCCCCCAAGATACCAGCGGCCAGCAAAACCTCCACAGAAGCCTTCTTGCAGCTTTCTGAGGAGGAGGAAACGGAGGGGGAGGAGGAGGATCCCTCAGGGCCTTAAGCACAGACCTTGGCTGCCCTGCTCAACCACATCCACGCGAGCGCTTACGTGCCGGTGTTCTGAGGTCAGACTTGCCTTCCACCCACCTGAGCCTCTGTGAGCTCCAGGTGACTGAGAAACTGCCTTCCCCTCTGTTCTCAGTGCTGCTCCCACCCCACTCAGCCTGGGAGGGCACACCCACGCCTCCTGCTTCTCCAAGTGGGGACTCATTTTCTTTTTTTTGTCGTTTTCTTTTGGGTCATTTGATTCTGTTAACACAGATGAAGATTAAACTCTCAGTACACCAACACCACTGTTAGGAGCATTTCAGGCCCCGAATTTCTCCCTGTAGCTGTGTAAGCAGATGGATATCAGATCATTTTTGGGAAGTGGTCTCAGAAGACAAGGATGAGCAGCTTTCAAAGCTCATGGAAAACGAGCAGGATTGAAACCCAAGCATGATTTTGTAGCCTGTGCCCCTTCCGCTACACCTACCCCATTGTAGTTCGCTTTAGGCTCCAAACATAAAAGTGGTTGGTACTCAGTACCTACATGCAAAGTGTGTATGGATGGGATGGGTGGCGGGGAAGGTATGAAAAAGATCTATTCCTTTCCTATTCTCCTCTCCTCACACCTGTCCACCTTCCCATCTGCCCTCTCCATCCACAGAATAACTATAAAATGTTTACCTTCTCTGTACTTCAAATTGCACTAAGTACTACTTGAGAAATTTAACTCCTTCCATATAACAACCCCATGAAGTAGAAACTGTTAAGTTTTCCCAGTTTACAAAGGAGCAGCAGGGGTAACTAAGGGTTGCAGGTGCTACCAAACTCACCCAGGGTCACAGAGAGGGGTCAAGCCCAGATGGGCTGGATGGACTACCCAACACATCCCTGGTTCTCCTCCTGATCCCCTCCACACCCACCCAGCACACCCTGCTTCTGTGTCCCCTCCGTGACTATTCACACACATAGACCTCTTAAACCCTCTGGCTTTAATGAGAATAAAACTTTTTTTTAAATAAATCTCTGGGGGAAAAAATACAGGGGAAAGGACCCAGGCAGTCCAGCATCTTCCTACAGCCTCCATGCAGGCCCCGCCAACTGTACCCACTCTAATCCATAGACTTGGTCCAGCAACTGTCCATTCTTTTGGGGGGATGACTTAGAGATGCTGGCCTCCCAGGTACCATCCCTGAGCCCCTCTCATCTGTCCCACTTCCAGGACTTCTGGGGATTAATCATCCTCCCCTTGACTCCCCTGATTTGTCTGATCCTCCAGTCTCACACAGGCCCCTCCAGTCCTCTGGGTCCCACTGGTTCTAACAGGTTTCTTTGATCCCCCCAATGCCACCTCTCCAAGGTCCTCCTATCAGCAACCCCAGCCTTGCTCTACTTCTCATGTGGAGCCCTCTGACTTGACCCCAGTCCTGTCGGCCCCTACTCTAGAGAGCCCACAGTCCCAGTCCCCTGAGGCCTTGCTCTTCTGGATCTGGCTGTACAGGGCAGTGTCTGAGCTGTGGCCTTTGCTGCCACTGCCAGCTGTGCCAGGTTCAGGGAAGGCCAGGCGCTGGGGCTTGGGAGCTGGGACGGGCTTTGTGCTCCGAGGGGGAGGCACGGCGTAGTCATCAGTGGCAGGGTTGTAGGGGAGCTCATAGCCCTCCTCCTTCGCTCGAGCCTGGCACCACCATGCATCCTTGGGCTCCTGAGGCAGATCATAAAGGCCCCGGGCAGAAGCTGCTCCCGGGCCCTCTGGTTCATCATAGATGGGGTCCTCCTTGGGGCCCGTCAGCTTGGTCTTCATCAACTGCTGCTGCACATGCTCATACAAGTCCCAATAGAGAGTTTTCTTTAACTGTACCTTCTCCCCTGCCAGAGCCGCGGTGCTGTCCAAAGGGTCTGAATACAGGGAATCTTGGGAAGGACCTGGAGGAATGCGCAGAGAGTCTAAGGGCTCAGCGTACAGAGACGGCGGGCTGTCTGGGAGCTCCTGGGCACCAGGGTGGGAAGCCAGCTTCCCCTCTGCCACTTCTTCATGGGAATCAGCTCTAAGAACATCCTGCCCCTGACCAGCCTTGCCCTGGGCCTTTTGCCGGTGGATAGCAGTCTCGACTGCCTGGAAAATGTCATTTCCCTGTGCCGTCTGGAAGGTGAAGTTCCCAGGGCCAGAGGGGCAGCGCCGACCAGCCTCAAAGGAGAACATGACCTG